GTCATTGGAAAACTTGGCTAAAAACACTTATTTGAAAAAGAGGAGAAGGCATTGCAAAAGTAAGGCGTAGATTCTTGTCACACTGCATGTGTTCATTTGCGCCCAGCCTACAAGTCGCACACCCGGCAGAGTGCGCACTCCTGTAAGCTTAATACCAGTACTTTGGGCCACATATTGGTCATGAAATATCCAGATCCAATGGGTTAAATAAGATTTATAACCTTAACTCAGTATCTGATATGAGTTAAGGAATACTTCGTGATTCTTTTATGCCAGTCTGATATCAATGTTTGATAGCACAACTTTGATAAAAGGAATTACAGGATCCAAAAAAGGAAATGTTATAAAAGAGAAATGGCTACTTGGCACCAAAAACTAAAAGTATTTATTATAATTTAACTATATCTTGCATAATCTTGAATTCAGATTACCAGTACTTTGTCATCCTCACTTATGATGATTATTCTTACAATAATTACCTATGGCCACTGTTCACGTCATCTTCATTGACACAATAACACCAGGTCGAAAATTCACTGTCAAAGAGTTTTGTTGGGAACCAACAAAAGAGTTAGCCCAATCTTTGTAGCATGCAGCTGGCCCAGCACCAGTGCAAGAGCCAGACCCAGTACATTGCCAAAATAAGTTATGACAGCTTCCTTTGACATGAGGATGAAGATACACTCATGACAGGTGCCGTACTAGCACATCATGGCTAACTCCATAATACCAGATGATGTCCCATCATGTCATGCATGGTCAAGCCCACTCAAAATATAGCCTCAGAAGTAGGCTTAAAGCCAGCCTCTCTTTAGCCTCATCATAAAAAAAAATCAGACTATTGAAGACCAATTTGGTGCCTATCTTGTACAGGTGATCTGCAGTCTTCTTTTCATCCAGATTCCTGCATCAGTCATTAGGTGATCTAGCAATGACAGTTGGTTCCTCAATCAAATCTGTAAAGCTTGATTTTTTCCTCTGAGAGCTCCAAATGTGTATTGGTTTTGTAAGACAGGTGAAGAAAATAGCCCAACATTTGAGGTTAGCTGCTCAGCCACAGGGAGTGTTTGTTATATTCCAAAGTCCGGAAGCATCTTCTCCCACGTAAAGGTTGGGTTAGCCACATAAAGGGTGGGTTAGGTTCTGAGTGGTCACCTGGTAGATCACCCATCAACTGGACTTCTTTTTCCACAAAGTTTTTACACTGGACTTTGAGTGTAGGATCAATGAGGTTAGTGGTTTCATACCTGTAATCTGATATCCACTAGCTCTGTTGGCTCTGATGGTAGTAGTGATATGCTATGAGTGTAGAAATATGGCTTTTACTGGAGGGAATGACTGGTTGTTTATGGTAGTTTTCTCTTTTTAAGTATTGCAATCTTCCACCAACTCTTAGAATACCATCTTCAAGTAAGGGTTTAAAGTCAAGATTTAGCTGGAGTTTGGAAGCCACATTTTTACCTGAAGAAGCCCACCTTCTTTGTAAAGTTTCTTTCTCTTAGATCTTCCTTTCGGTGGTTTGGCACATCCAGATGTCAGCCACAAAGTAGTGACATTCACTAAGCAATGTCCTTCATGTCTTGAGATAAGTCCTCATCAAATAAGGCTGATGCGACTTCTTAGCTGTTCAATATAAATTTAGGAAGTCTTAAATTTCTGTAATCTCATCAACAAGCTAAGGGCTACCTCAGTACTAGAAAGGGATATTAGACCATCAATAACATTAAATCGTTGAATTGTATTTTGTGATGTCCCCATTGTATGAGCTTCCTGCAGTCTCCTAGCTGCTGCAGGAGATTTATAAGATTGTCTGAAGTAATTTCTTTGTGAGTGCCTGTGTTTTGAGCAACTCCTTTGATGATGTGCAGATTTTTTTCTGTATTAGGCTGTGTAACACCTCTCTCAACCAGTGGCTGTGAACAAAGACTTGGCAGAATGTTGAGAAAGTTTCCACTCAATGTGATCAAGTTCACAAGTTGATGGGCATAAACCATGTATCCAAACTTGCTATATGTAAGAATATATGGTGAAAAGCTGGAGGATAATCAATTGTTACAAATTTGGAATATATTTTTTGTGGAAAAATAGAAAGCAGAAAAAATATACAAATATGGAAGAACATTTACAGAATACTAGATAGAAATATTAATGGTAAATGAATATAAGAATTAGTAAAAAAGCTGCTAGACTAATATTATGTAAACTTTAAACAAAGTGCTATTACTGTAACTACTCTGAGCTATGTACGGTTATATTTAGGACACTTAGTAAAAGTTTATATAACTAAAGACTTGATCATTTCATGGAAGGAAAGGGAATAATATATTCTTTGATAAGTAACTGAAATAAGTCTTCATAGAAATTTGAATAGTGTAGGAATAACACATACTAATATCACATTTAAAGTAATATATCACAAAAAAGGCACAGATTTGTCAAACTTTTTCTCAGACCTTGTGTGGCCAACATAAATCTAAAAAAAAATGTGAAGTAGTTGCCACAGAAGAGATTTCAAATGAATTTTGCATAACAAGTGTGTGTTCTATAACTCTGTATTTGCGTTCTCAGATGACTCTCGTTGGAGATCTGTTGGCCATGTACGAGATGAGAAGGGATGAGGATTTTAAAAGATCTCTCTATGTCATGATGAAGAATTTCAAAAAGAATTACTACAAGGACCCACCTCCGATTTTTGAAAGTGCGCAGCATCTCAGATTTAGTGGGTCGTGAGTATTTTGCTGGTAATCATTTTCTTCTGCATTTGTGTATTTGCTCATTATATGGATATATATTTTTTTTTCTTCTTTTTTTTCTATATGCAAGTAGACAAAGCCCCATTCCCCACCACATTCGCACAGTTAAGTAAATCATTATTTAAATGAATAAATTTTCAACATTTAACTTTTCATCTTTTAACATATCTCAGTTGCTATTTGAATTAAGAAGTTTAATTCAAAGTTTAATTCCACCACTAGGTAATCATACTTTAGTGTAACCATACTAGTTTATAAGTATTCAAACAAATTAAACTGTACTGTATATGAAAGAACAAGCACGAGTTGATATATACAAAGTTCAGTCTAATGTTAGCATTGAATTTACTTCACAACTATTAAGTGGTCTATAAGGTCTATTGTCCTTGCTCCTACAGCATTCACCTTATCCTTCTCATCCACCACTGCCTCCTTACATATTTCATCTTACTCATCTCTCTTCTCTTCTTCCTCTTTTTTCTGGTGTCCTTTCTCTGTCAACCCTTCTTGCTTTTAATGGAAATGCACTATGGTTACATAAAAATTGTATTTGCTCTTCCTCTGCATCAACTGCTTAATTTTGGCTCCCTTCCATTACTCCTTCCAAAATTATTTCAATGATAAACATGCATGTTGTATCAGTTCCGCTGCAATTTTATAGTATAAATTTAATGTGTCATTCTAAAGTAAAATGCTAACTACAAAAACTGAAGTGGGTCTGACAGAAATATTTGACAGTGTTGCCTACCATTTCACTCCCAAGTTATCTCAGCCCATGTTCTTTGTAATCAAAGTATATTTTATTCATGTGTGGGATTTTTCATGATAATCCACAAACCCCCTCAGATCAGAGTGGATAGAGACTGAGGTATAAAACTATGAAGACAGTCTTCTATAAGAAAAACAATTATTTCAATTGGAAACATGTACAGTATGTTTTGATTATATTAGTAGTTCCATAAAGATTTTACATTTATTTTTATGTTCAGGTTTCTTTTAAACTTATGTCTGTTTGTTTTTTAAATTGTAGTCATAAGCAGAAGACAAAGAAGGGCATGTCATGTCACTGTCTTGCTCTTTACATGCACATGTAAATCCACAGTGCTGAAGCTGTTACTTGCATGCATATCAATACAGGCCTGAACTTTTGATAGCTAAGTCTATCCAAATCCACATGTAGTGAAAATGAATATCTGCTTTCATGTCTGCAAGTACTGCAAAAGAAAGTC